CCCAGAGTTTGCCACAAAGGAACCAAGATGAGATATGTACACACAGGAGAGTTACTAAAAAAGTGCTAAGCTTTGAGTAGTCCCAGGGTCACAGAATGGGCCCTGATCTGAAACAGGGTCATGCAGATGTGTTCCTTCACATGAGGTTGCGCTCAAGTAAAGGGATGTGATTGCCAACTGGACAAAAATAAGAAACGCTTCTCAAGGGATCAGTGAAGTTCCTCTGGGTGTCTGTGATGAAGTTTCTAGAAGCCATTTGATACCTCTGACCTAACTCAAGTGCCTGGATGGAGTCACAATGTGATGCTCAAAGGCCCTAGCTAGAGAAAGTGGTCCAATGGGTAGCAGCAATAAGACATCTTACCCTGTCCCCTTCCTGTATTGCTCTCTTTGCTTGCTGTTTGCCATGAAGAAACTCCCTCTCCTCACCCTCATTCTACCATGATGAACACTTGCCTCAAGACAGGCCCGGGGAACAGAGTCAGGAAGCTATGGACTGAGCCCCCTGAAACTGTGAGCCAAAATATGTAGTTCCTCTGTTAAGCTGTTTCCATCAGGCATTTGGTTACAATTACATGGGGGGGGGGGCCCTAATACACAGCACCCCAATTCAACAGGATTGGGTCCTCATTAAACGAGCCTCAGAAAAACAGAGATGCAAGGAGATCAGTGTGGCTAGTAAAGACCAAGGTGAAGATCACCAGAGCTTGCTTCTGTAAGCCAAGGAATGTAGGTCATGAGGACACTTTGTTTTCGGACTTCGGATCTGGAGGACGACGAGAACATAAATCTTCACTGGGGAAAACCTCTCTGCATGTGGGAATTTGTCAAGGAGGACAGCACAGGGGCAAGGGAGGCTTGGCTTTACCAGGATGATCACTCTTAGAATAAAACCAGTCCCTAGGAGGGTGGGTGGATGGAATGAAGATTGGCAGGGCATGGGGACAGGAAGGGACTGCTTGGGGACTCAAGCTTGGGGCTCGTGTGGGAGCAAAAAGCTAGAGTTAGGAGGCCTGCAGTATTGAAAACCCACAGCCTCAGGGTCTTGGTAAAGGACTGAACAAAGACTTCCCACAACACTGATGTTGAATCTTTCCCCAACATTGGTTAAAGTCCCCAATGTTACACTCACAGAAAGAATCTTTGGAGAGGTCAGGAGAGTGGGGCCCTAAGCAAGGAGAAATGCAGCGTTGTTAGTGGTCTTAGAAGATGACACCAGAGACAAGAGATTGCAAGAAGGGACCACCCCAGATCTGAGAGAAATGAGCAGATCTGTTGCTTAAGCCAGCCTGTGTCTGTGCTGATGTCACTGGCTGACCAAGGCAGCCTGGAAATCTAGCTAGCCATGCATCCTGTCCTCAGATTTGACTCTGGGATGTGATACTGTAATCTAGTTCACACTTGAGTTAGAAAAAAAAAAAGAATGGAAAAGAATACCCCCCCTCGGAAAAAAAAAGCCAATAACAACAAAACAAAAACCCTTAATGTTTTAAGTCAGTTTACAATTTTGTATTGGGTCATATCCACAGTTGTCCTGGGGCACACAGTAGCCTCAGGGCTTGACTCACAGTCCTAGCAGGCACAGCACCCAGCCAGGGTCAGGGAGCCATCTGTCCCCTGTCAGCCTTTGCACTTCCTGTAGACTGTTTCCTGCAGCAGAACCCCCCCCCCCCCGTCCCTTCTAATCTGGTTGGTTTATCCATCAGGAAGACAGCCCACTACATCACAGGCCAGCCAACTGGCCGCAAACCAAGCCGCAATATATTTTGACTCTACAGGATCTCCTTGCAAATAATAACGTCATTGTCGGGGCCAATATGGGACCTACGGAAAACTTGAATTGCATCCTCGGTTACAAAGACTGTAAAACCCACTTTTCAGGTTGCAGCTGGATCCCCTGGCCCAGGTTGAGCGTATGGCACTTGCTTGTCTGTGCGCCTTCGCTGACCACGTACAACTGTGACAAGGGGTACAATACGGGAGATTAGGGAACTCTGGCTTTGTGCACGTGTGTGAGCATGAGTGTGAGGTGCCAAGTATCCTCAACTTACAAAAAGTCTGTATGTATGTATTTATTTATTTATTTTGAGACAACATCTCATGTAGTCCAGGTTGGTCTCAAACTCACTATATAGTTAGGATGACCTTGAACTTCTGGTCCTCCTGCCTCTACTTCTCTCATGTGTGGGAATTCAGGCATACACCATCACACATGTTTTATGCGGTCCTGAGGATGAAACTCAAGGTGTTCTACCCACCCTCTGCCCTAGGCATCCTAAATGCAGCCACCTACCTAGTAACACCAAATCTAGGATTTCCAGTGGCCAACAGTTCAAGACTGCTACAGAGAAGAAGAGGCCTGAGCACATGGCAAGCTTGCCCCCCTCCCCGCTTTGATTAGTAAGAGGAAAAAAGACCCATAAAATAATCCAAGGGGCCACTTGGAGTTTCTTGTTTAGCTCAGGGGGTGGGGACAAAGGAAATGTCCCCATACAAGGCTAGAAGGGACTTTCCCCCCCTCAGAAGCCTGTGTCTCTTGGGATTTGCTATGTGGGGCAGGGATAGAAGCCTTTTGGTGTTAGTGGAGTGGGTGGCTGGCATGATGGAACAAGGGGCACCGGACAGACAGAGCTGCTGGATGGGCCAGCAGTTGGGAGGGGAAATGTATTTTACTATACGGCTCTCTCTCTTCCCTTTGTCTCTGCACAGGGCGAAGGAACACACCTTCCCCTAGATGCTTCCTCAAGGAAGAGATTGGATTTCTTCATCCCTGGATTCAAATGTCTGCACATGAAGGGCCTGGTAGATGAAGGTAGAGAGGGAAGTCGGGGAGGGATGGAGCCTGGAGCTCAGTGGGAGTGGAGGTCGGGAAGGAGGGAGCAAGAGTGAAGACAGGTGACACTTGACAAAGACCTAGACCTGTAAGTGGAAGAGTGGCATAGGAGCTGGCAAGGCTGAGACTCTCCCTGTGTCCTCCAAGTCCTTAATCACAAACAGATCCACAGGAATCCTGTGTTCTTGAGTTTATTATCCTCCTGCCTCAGCCTCCAGAGTGCCAGGATTACAGGCAGATTGCCACCACACTCCTTTTTTAAAGTCTATGCATCCTTGACAGATTGCAGACCTGAGATTCAGAGCAGGACAGAACCCTGGGAGACAGGTGACTGCTCACTCCTTACTGAAGAGACACCTTTTCCTGGCTTCCTTGGGGCACTCAGGACTATGGAGAACCGTCCCTCTCCAGCTCCCACTGGGCCATTTAGCTACGAACAGAAGCAGATGAGTGGGTTCCAGTTCCTGGGGACAATTCAGGTTGCCAGTGGCTCAGGCCTCCCCAGCCCCATCCTTTCCTACTTACTTCTTCCTTGATACCAAGGCATATGACAAAGACTGGGTCCATGGGCCAAAGAGGTCCCAATGAGATGAGAGGGGAAGGAGGGTCTACGAGGTGCTTAGTCGGTTGCTGGGGCAGGTCTCAGCCCAGCCCTGGCCACAGGGATGGGTTCAGAGGGGGGCATGTTAGATGGGTATAGAACTGTAGTGATACTGGAGCCCTGGGGCATGGGAAAATGTAAGCTGTCTCCAAGGGATGCTGAGTCATAGAGACTGCTGTCACCAGGAGAGGGACGTTCACACAGGAGTAACTCGAGTGGGGCCGTGGGGACCCAGGGCCCTCGGTGCAGACAGCAGGAGGTTTACAAAGGGGCTCGAGAAGGTCCTGCAAAGACTTGACGGTGTCATAGGGTAAGTCTCCCTGGGGGTGTGATTACTGTCAACTGACCTTCCTCACTTGGAAGCATGCCTGACCCCAAGGTGTGTATCTAGTAGGGCCACCCAAGAAGGGTACAATTTTGCATGTTTGGCTGGATTTCGCTGCCTGGCTACCTCTGCTAGTTCTCTGCTAGGGGACAGCTTTCCCTCTCATGTCACATCTGATAGCTGGGGACATGGACCACTGACGTCGGGTTGGGGCTCTCCATTCCATTCACTCTGTACCACCAATTCTTGGCATCCATCAAGCAGGATACTGTGTCAGGGGATGGGGTGCAGCCCACCACAGACCAGAATGGCCTCCATCTCAGGTAGCTAGTGAAGAAAGGCATAGGAGATGGGGGGGGGTGAGTGGGCATAGTAGGTGAGGGACACAGGGACACAGAGTCCTGAGTGGGGAAACCACTGAGAGGATTCAGCACCAGGTGAGGGCAGAGACCAGGGACCTCTCCTTAGGCATTTCCTCCCGCCTCCCTGACAAGGAACATAGCAGGTGAGAGACAGGGAGACTGCTGTAAACAGTTGTGTGCACACCCATGGAACTCATCCTGCATACCCAGGACCCGTATTCTTCACCGTTATAACCAACTCCAGCACTGTCAGCATCACAGAGGGAAGGTACCAGAACTCTCTCACCACAGCCTCAGGTCTCAGGACTCAGACTTCAGGGGAGCCACAGTGATGGTGAGCTACAGAGGGCCTCCAGATGTCATGCCAGCTAAGAAGCTATGGTGTCCTCCAATTGCCCAGAGTGGGCAACGAGGTGAGTCAGAACGATGTTCTTACAAAACAGGATGAAGGTGAAGCCGAGGGACTGGTCCCCACAGAGGCTCTGTGCTAAAAAGACACTCAGGACTGCCTGCTGTCCTTCAGAGCTATACACCAAGGGCCACTGGCAGCTTCCAGCTTGGAATAGGCCCTCTAAAAACAGATGTGTGCAAGCTTAGCCCGCCCCCTCCCCACCCTGACCTTGCCCTGGGAGTCTTGACAGAGCGGAGTAGGTGTGTTGTTCCTGGTTCCATTCGTGGCCTGCATTCTGGGATACAGCATAGCTGGGACACTCCACAGCTGGGCAGGCTTGTCCAGGTGGAAGGAAAGCAGGTGGCCCTGTCGACGCGTAGACACACGCATGTACGCTGGCGCGGTGGTGGGTGAGTCTGCCCTCGGGGCCACGCACCTGGGTCTCCACAGCCCGAAGGTGTGTTCAGTCCGCAGCTCTCCAGCCGTGCGCTGGACCCTCCCTGGTTCAGTCTGATCCTAGCTCAGTGGTCCCTGATCCTGCCTGAGTAAAGGGGTGTACGTCCAAGGTGTGGGAAGCCTCGGCGGTGTCATCACAGGTCTCCCAGGCTGAGCTGTTTTGGGACCCCCTTGGTGGTGAGCCTGGGCCTCCTTCGATAGCAGGAGGCAGAGCAGGGAGGAAGAGGCGGTTTGGGGGCGAGGCAGCTTATGCTGGCCCGTGTCCATGGTCACAGCCTGGAAGGGGGAGAGAAGAAAGGGTAGAGAAGAGGGATATGGGTCCCATCGTGCCATCTTTTGTGGGCTAACACCTTCTCAGAGGGTGGCTTCGAGTGGGCTCCTGCCCTTGCCAAGCAGAAGGGACTTCTACTGACAAAGGTCTTACTGTGTGCTAGACTCTGAACTGAGTGTGGCCTGTCCCTTATCTCATTTAAGCCTGTGAAGATGTTTATCCATGGGCATTTTTGTATGCTTTTTTACAAATGGAAATTGGGGCTCAGGGAGGTTATGTGGTTTGCCCAATGGTGCACAGCTTAGAAGCATCAGGGTCAGAATTTGAACCCAGAACTCCCTCACTACAGTAGGTAGCCCAGTGTGTAGGTTGGGAGAAGTCTGACACGCTGCTGAAGACAGAGACCCGCTGGCTGAGACCAGACCTGTGTCACAGGCTTTGACAGTGACAACAGGAGCTGACCTGCACAATCAGAATCAGATCTGACTCCCCACAGGAGTTTGACACTAATGACAAGCTGAATGAAAAATTCCACAGGATTTCCAGTATCATGGGACACAGGACCACAACCATCCTCTGTTTCTTCTTTGGTTTATGTCCAGAGAAGAGCCTAGAAAACTAGGCTTCCTTCCTCCTCAGCCCTCAGTGAGTTTAAGCCCTTCTCTTCAGATGAATGTTTTTGCGCATGGACCATTGGGTGCCGGCTCAAAGGACCTTTGAGTTTTATAGCACCAGATACTCTGAGGCCCTGCTTGAACTCCCAAGCCGGTTCTCCCCCTGCTCCAGGCTCTCTTAGAAGCCAGAGTGGAGCCTGTCTGAGCTGCCTCCTGCCTGTTTCTTGTATGATTAGTCAAAGTGCCACCAGGCTGCCAGTCCAAGGCTCTTAACTTCCTCCTGGCACACAGCGGTTGCCAGGGCAGAGTGAGCATTGGTTATTTGAGGCTCAGTGTGCCCAGTGCCAAGCACATGACCTCACTGGGCCCTCACAGCGCCCCTGCTATGGGTTATGCTGCCCTCAATGTTCAGAGCATGAAATCATAGTTCAGAGAAGCCAGTGGATATGTTCAAGCCACAGGGCTATCAAAGGCTGAGAGGAAACCCAACCTGTGTCCCTCTGACAGCAGACTCTGTGTTCTTTCTAATCATCCAGGGAAAGGGTGAGCCCCTGGGACTCCCACAGAGTGTTCATATGTATGCAGGTGTGTGTACAGCTGAGTGTATCTCTCTCTCTCTCTCTCTCTCTCTCTCTCTCTGTAGTACTGTATTTATGTTCACCTGTGTGTGTATACCTGAGTCTGTGTGAGCTCACTTGGGAGTACCTAGAAGGATAATAGGAAATGGGGTCTCCTAAGCAGCTTCCCTCTCACCTTTAAGAGAGAGCTGTTAAGGAGGCAGGCCTAAGAAATGGACCCCAGGGAGAAATGCTTGTTCCTGGTCTTGGGGGAGGTACTGGGTCCACAGCTAAGGCAAGAGCAAGGAGGGTCTTGGGGCCTTCTAAGAAGGAAGTAGATAAAGAGGATGGTGAAGAGCTGCGAGCCCTTTCTGTTTCAATGGAGGACGCTGGGAGCTGTGATCTCCATGATGGGGCAGCTGCTGGTCCACACGGGAGGAGCCCTGCCAGTCAGGCTTCATGGGGGAGATGCCAGTCACATGACAGACGGGACCTGATCTTTCCATGTACTGTTCAGACTGACATATCATCTGTCATCAGGAAGAGTTAAGCCAGAGGCCACTGAGCCAGCCACAGGCAGACACTGTGGGGCTCCAGGGTGATAACGGGCTCCCCTGAACAGACACTGGCAGGGAAGTGTGGTGGCTGGGTACGTGGTGTGGGGCCAGCTGAAGGAAAGGTTGGAGGAGGAGAGAAAATAGGAGACAGAGGTCAAAGGCTAGGGCAGGGCGGGGGAGGTGCTAAGGGAAATACGTACTCTGCAGACTTCCAGAAATGTCCGGGGTGCGACAGGCGGCGGTTTCGCTTTGGCAGTTTCTCTAGCATGTCCATGAGCTTGGTGAAGGTGGGCCGTTCTTCCTGCTCAAAGGCCCAGCAGAAGAGAAGTATGTCCTAGAAGAAACCAGCGAGCCACGACTGGACCTAAGCGGTGACTTTACTGAGTCCTCATCTAAGTCTCAGCACCTGGGCATTGCTCTGGCTCTAACCATGGGTTCATCTGGCCCATTTCTCTCCACCCTTCCATCCATTTACTCAGCATTTGCCCACCATCCATCCATCCATCCATCCCCCCAGTAGCCACTATCAATCTCCTCACTCATAAACTTAGCCATCCCACCCACCCATCTATCCATCACCAGCCACCATCCATCTACTCAATCTATACACAGCCATCCCATACACAAACACACACACATTCATCCACTCACTAGCCATCGACCTACTCACTCATATACATGGCTATCCCTGCCATCCATCCATCCATCCATCCACCCACCTACCAATCCATGTATCCACTCACTAGCCAGCATCTACCTATTCATCCATATTCATATCTATCTCACCCAACCATTCATCGGTCTGCCTGTTATCTACCCATCCATTGACTCATTCATTCATCCTTTATCTAGCATCTACCATCTATTCACCTACCCACTCATCCACCTACCCAGCTATCCTAATCCATCCACCTATCCACTCAACACCTACCATCTATCCACCCACTCATACAAACATCTGTTCATCTATCTTCCCACCATCTACCACCTATCCATATCAAGTTACTCATTCATCCTTCATCTAATGTCCACTCTCTATTTATCCAGCAGCCACCCACACCATCCTCCTTCCACAAGTGTCTATGCACCCACCCCTCCGTCCATATGAACTCACGCACCCTCATTCTCCACCCATCCTTCCATTCGCTAAGGTATCTCTCCATCCGTGTATCACCCGCCTACACATCCACACATTTCATACACCCATTCACCCACCTATCTGTCCACAAAGCGTGAGTCCACATAGCCATTCCTTTGTATCAATCCACTTACTTATCTTCATCTGTCATCTGTCTCTCCACCCATTCACCGCATCGCCCCCATTCTCCCTCTTAGCCCTCTTCTCATGTACTTGATGAGTCCCTCCAGTAAGCTAGGAATGTTCTGTGCTCGAAGGCCTAAGACATATTGGGACAAAAAGTACCTTCAGGGAGTTTCTTGGCATTTTTCCTGAAAGCGAGGGATAGAAGGAAATCCTGAAGTCGCTAGCTACACCCCACTGTATTAGTGGATGTTCCATGAGGATAAAGAAGAGAAAAACTAACTTTCACCATCTCCTTGTCCAGGAAGAGGATTCTGGAGGCTGGTGGTCCTGATGAACACCTTGGGGTGATTACTGCCTTCTTTGGCTTATCTGTCTTCTGATCTCAAGAGAGGATTCTTCCCATTGTGTTTAAGGGGAAGATTGCTCATTTACAGCCAGGCTTCTTGGTTTCTGCCTAGCATACTCGGAATTGGAGAAATGGCTCAGTGCTATTGCAAGAGGCAAGTGAAAATGAGCGCTGGCACTGCCGGTGATGCTTTAATGGACCAGGTAGGTTATCCATTGGTTTATCCGAAGCAGCAATCCATTGCCAACAGGGCAATGTTACCGCGCCCCTAGTGGCGGGCACCTGGGATTGCAGGCATAGTGCTGAGAATTTACCCTTTAAACTCCACACAGGTCACCTTTTAAGTCATTCTCTGGGAAAGCCCCTATAACCTTCACACACAGGACCAAGGAACCCTAGGACTTTGGCTGCTTCTCTCCTTATCCCCCAAATCCAGCCTCTCATGGGACTTACCGAGATTTCTTTTCCCATGCCAATCTGGCTGAGATTGGGTTTCATGCCTGCACCCATCTGCCAAATTATTGCCTCTGCTGGTTGGGTCTTGAACGGCCACTCCCTGGCGTGGAGCTCGTACCAGATGGTGCTGTGAGATAGCAGACACAGTTAATAAGACATGGCTTCGGTGTGTCATTTGTGACCCTGCGGCCCCATCTCCACCCACTGCACAAACAGAGGCTGGTCCCGACCAGCCATTCCCCTTTGTAGTCTCTCCCAAGGGGTTGGGTTTTGTTTAAAACTCTCTTGAAGTTAGACATTAGGGGCTTGTTGTCCCAGAATACCTTTTTTAATGCCAGGATGGATACACTTCTATCTAAATAATTTAACACAATGTAGTGGCCATCTCTGACCTTATATTTACAATATTATATTTAAATTCTGTATTTGAAACAACTATATTTGTTTCTATAGCCTTATATATAAAAATGCTGAAAAATGTAGAAACAGCAGAACAACTTATACATAGCCGGAAGATGTATGCATTATGGTAAATCCTTAAAATAAAACAGCAACCATATTGCCTTGAGAACATTTACACGACATTTTGCTGGAATGAAAAATTCTCAATAGATCACTCTAAGTGTAAAAAAAGGGGGGGGACAAAGAATGTCTATGGGGTCTTTAAAATCACTCTATATGCATGGATGGAGGATGATCATGAAAGCCAGCAACATGCTCATGGGGAATAGTGGGATGGGGAGCTTTTGTTTTCATACCTGCACACTGTAAGGATAAATCATAGTGTAAAATGGCAGAAAGAAAGAAACAAACAAAAAAGACTGTGATATGATGAAGACTGGCCTAGATCTATGCTAGTAAGATGATGTGGTGAAGCCACTCCCTTCTCACGTCCGTGAAAAGGTGTTTCTGTGAGACACTAAGCATCTGGATACAGTGCTAGGATTGCTCCGTGGATATTTGCCATGCCACATGCCCCATAAATCACAGCAATGCAATAGAGGGAGAAAGGCTGCTGGCAGAGAGGTTGGCCATGGGTGGGGTAATGGCTGAATGGCACATAAATGCCATTATGTGGCACTATCAGTGGTGAGTGTGGTGAGGGATGAACATGGGGAAGCTGGCATGTAACTGAGCCATACTGTGGCCAGCGACCTCCATATCCTGAGAAGCAGGTCACTAACCTCAAGAAATACCTTTCCTCCTCCCCAGGGAGGCCTCTGGCTTTCCTTCAAGGAACACAAAGCACTCTAGCATTCTTGTGACTGATCAAGGACAGTTTTAACTCAAATCTTCATAGACAACTTTATTTTATTCAAAATTATGTGTTATTTTTAGCTAAGCGTATGTGTGGGTATATGCACATGACTGTGAGAGCCTGTGGGGGCCAGAAGAGGGCATCAGAAATTCTGGAGTTACAGTTGAGAGCTGCCTGGGTGCTGGGGACCAAACTTCAGATTTCTGCAAGTGCGAAAAGTGCTAATAACCACAAAGCCCTAGATGGCCTAGACCTCACAAAATCATCTATCTAGTCCCTAACTGTGTTGTACAAACATGAGCTGAACCAGGACAACAGCAACAGACATGTCAAAGTGGACAGGGGAAAGCCCAGGAGGCCTCAACCCTACACGAAGAACTACAGGCAACCAAGGATGCTGAGAACAGGATAAAGAGTCTTCTCCAGGGAAGAGCTCACCAATTGGTTATCCAACATCAAGTGATCAGCTCTGAAAACATACATACAAATAACATTACACAGACTGAGCAGGTTATATTGAAGAATATAATATAATTCCAGATTTTTTTAAAAAAAAACTTTTTAAAAAAAAGTTAAAAATAAATAAAAAGTAAATGAAAAAAAATGCCTTCTGTGTTTTATTTTCTTTGGGGCTTGGGGATGGGACCCAGTGCCTGGTGTATGTTGAGTTTACCCCTTCAATCAATCAGTGTGGGAGCATGAAGATCAGCTTGACACAGTCTTTGGAGGAACGCAGGCTTGGTTTGATTTTGAGTTGCTGGGACAGGGTGCAGGGCCTCATAAGTGGTAGGCAAACACTCCATGCCGAGCCTCTTGCCTCCTTGGTGACTTTCTGGCCCTGGTGGACCACCCCTCGCCTAGGTTAGCTGACTCCTGTAGACAGGGAGGGACTGAGCAGGGAGTGAGCTTTTTACAACAAACCAAACAGCTCACAACACCTCCTTGACCAGGTGAGGTCCATGTCCCCAGTCCCTCCACCCAGAGCCTGAGAAATGACTCCAGCTCACTGATGACCTTTCCGTCCTTCTCTTCCTTGTGTACATGTGTGTGGCACACCCCACTCTGGAAGGTTTTGGTGAAGACTGTATGCTACCACACACAGGAAAACACAATGTGGTGCTCAGTGCTCTTACTCTGTATAGTTTCTCTACAACGGGATGCTCCTAATTGGTTGGAGTCTGAGGGCATGGGGTCCTTTGCAATCCGAAGGTGTCACCGATAAAAGGCTCATTAAAACTTCCTTCCTAACCCAACTTTTAAGAGGAAAATTCACTTTGAGGAGAAAAAAAAATGTTATAGAAGAAAACTCCAGTGAGAAACCAATTACTTACGCTAGTACATTTTGTTAATTACATTTTTTTTTCTTTCACTAAATTCACAGTAAAAATATACTAACTTAATTACTGCAATTTGGTTCCAGATAATGATATCTAACTAGATAAAGATTTGGGCATTAACTAGTAAGAGCAAGTGATGGCTTCTCAAGGGGCTGAAATGATGAGCTCTGAGGATTGAGATCTCAGAATGCACAGTTGGAGGCTGGCAGTGAGGGCACAGTGGGGTGCTTTTCTACAGGAGACTGACTGCCTCTCTAATGTGCTTTAGGGATGACAGGTCTAATTGCACAAGTCTACAACTTTGCAGCTTCCCTGGCCAGTGTCTCCCCACTTTTTAAATCCATCTCATGAATAAGGCAAGGATTAGTGTGGCTATTTAAGGGATGGAGCACAGCTATTTCCTGATTGCATTTTCTCATCTCTTGGTGGTGGTGGTGGTGTGTGTGTTATATGTGCTTATGTGTGTATGTAAATACACTTGTATGTAATACACTTGTATATAAATGAACATGCACAAGTGTGTACAAATGTGTGGAGGCCGGAGGTGATGTTGGGCATCTTGCCTCAATTTCTCTTCACCTTATTGTTTGAAGCAGGGTCTTTCCTTGGGCTCGGACTCACCAATTCCGCTAGGCTGGCTAGCTGTTGAGCTCCAGGGGCCCACCTGTGTCAGCCTCCGCAGCACCCAGCTACCCAGTTTTTTATATAGACCCTAAGGTAAGAAACTCAGGTCTTCATGATTGTGTGACAAACGCTGCCTGAACCACCACCGTCGACCCATTATTTTTTATCATTATGTTAAGACAGATTCTCATTGTGTATCTCAGCATGCCTCGGCTTCCTGCATGCTGGCAACTGGCACACAGTATTGCTGCTGTCTCCTGGCTAGACCTTCTGGGTGCTCCTGCTCAGAACCTGCACTGCTTCCAAGGGCTCCTCATCCTTCCCTGTGGCTGCAGATGCTCCTGACAGTCGCAAATACCTCCTTCCCCCAGCTCCAGATGTGGAGATTCGCCCGCCTTCCATCTGGCTTCAAAGTTCTTCAGCTTCACTGTGGGCATACCCAACTTGTCTGCAAAACCCAACCACAACTCACTTCCGAGGCCGCTCCCTTGGCGAACACCACTCCTCTTTGCTACCTGGTCGCAGCTACACGAGGAAGAGGACGCCACTGCTAAGCCGTAGCACTTACACCCCGCAAAGGGCCTCTTTATTTTGAGCCCACACCCGAAGTTCCTGACTGCTGCAGTGACCACTACGCCCCCATGTGGCGGTCACCCAGCCTTCATCAAGCCTGCCTCCATTCGGCCAGAGTAGCCTGCTGCACGTAAAGATGGCATTCCAAAAGAAAGCTTAAACATGGTGGGAGCTATGTGTGTGACTCCGCAGACTTAGCTCACAATTGCAACAAGCTCTTTGTTGGCATGTTAGGAGCATGCTCCGGTGGCCTCCACACAGCAGAATGGCCTGTGGTCCCCAGTTGACTGAGCATGAGCAGCCATCTTGGAAGTGGCTCTTTGGCAAGTTGATACACATGGGACATTGTAGCAACGTAAAAGCAAGTTGATACACAATGAACAAATGGATGGATGAATGAATGAATGAATGAATGAATGAATGAATGAATGAGTAGGGTAACTTGTCATGGTCCCATAATCAGTTAGAAACCAGGCAGACAAGTATGTTACAGACATTCTTTCTATCATGTCCCCCTCAGGTCCCTCAAGCTCACTCAGAAATCCTATCATCTTGCCCCTACCACAAGTGCCCTGACTCTTCCAAAGGTGTCACTATGCAGGGGCTCTACCCACACTGTGGAGGTCAAAGGCCAGGGTGTGGCCCACTTACCCAAGAGCAAAGACATCCGAGTGCTTGGAGAAAGGGAGCTTGTCCTCTTCTGTGTCGGGGGACAGCTGGCGAATGATCTCCGGGGCCAGGTGGCACAGCCAGCCGTTCTGGATTCGCAGCTTGTCTTCCCGCCTGGAAGAGGCAGAGCCCCGGTGAGCCTGAGACCCAGGGTGAGGTGCAGGGACAGGGCTGCATGGAGGCCAACCCAAGCCACCCTCACGTCCACAGCCTCTGGGCTCTCTGGCTCATCTTTGCCGAAGACTGTCCATTCTTTTTGCCCCTACAAGCTGCACTCTGCAGTCTAAGGCTGCCTCTAGAGCAGTGGTCCTCAACCTTCCTGACGTTGTGACGCTGTGACCCTTTCATACAGTTCCTCACGCTGTGCCGACCCCCAACCAGAAAATTATCTCCATTGCTACTTCATAACTGGGATTTCGCTCCTGTTTGGAATTGTCACATCAATATCTGTGTATTCCCATGGTCTTAGGTGACCCCTGGGAAAGGGGTTGTTGAACCCCCAAAGGAGGACGTGACCCCACTGAGAACTGCTCCAGGGAACTATGTAAAATCTCACAGATTAAAACCCAAGTCCACCCAGATAGCCCATCCTAGTAGATTCCTGTCACCAGACCTGCAATTGGGAACGAGACCAATGAGGTATGAACTCTTGAAATTGGCAGAAAAAAGGAGTCAACAGGTGAATTAAATAGGAAAAAAAAAAAAAGGCCACATGGTAGTCTTTTTCTGTATTGTGTATTAAATGAGTGACTTTCAGTGGGGGCTCTCTTTCCTGCTCATGGCCCTGGAGACATTCCTCATTGCTATAACTAGGGTGTGTGTGTTGGGTGGGGAGGGGGGCCTGCTGCCAGCAACCACTGGGCAGAGACCAGTTGTGTTGTTTAATATACAACAGTGCACAAAGGGTCGCAACCGAGCATGAGTCCAAACCAGGGACAGATCTGAGAAAGACCTAGGTGGCAAAGGATCCAGCCCATGTGAGCAAAGAGGACATCTTAACTAGAGGGGAAGCGAGGTCAAAGGCCAGGGCAGTCCTCCAGGGACAGCTGTAGAAACCAGCAGGGGCTGGTGCATAGGAAGGCAACATGCCCCCCCCCCCCCCCATATGAACATAGATGGTGGTTTTAGGCGACGCCGT